GAAATGGTGAAAAGATCGCCTCCGTTAATAGGATCCTTATTCGCGCAAAGTTCCTCGCTCGTCTTTCCTTTGTAAGTATCCACTGTTAGGAACGTGATACCGTCAGATGTCGCCTTGTCATGATAGCAAGTAGTGAATTCGGTGATGTCCGTAATGCCACTGCACGTAGACTCGTCACAAGCCCCTGACTCGCAGTAGAACTTGAACTCATGACTTCCAGCCAGGGCACTTGCAAACAGAATGGAAGCGGTGAAGAGCTGACCAACCATGATTCAGAAAACGAAACTACTGATCTAAAATTAAAAGCCTCCTCTAGGCGGTATGCCGCGTCTCTAGGAGGTGTGTGGTATGTCAGTGAGCACCACGTCAGCAGCGGACCAGTACGACACAACAGTGTAAACAGAATGGATTAGTCTTCTCACCACCTTTGTCGGATACATTACACCCTCGAAAGTGCCCCAGTTTCTGACAGGTGCTTAGTGCGACTTCAAACTACCGCAATCAGGGTTCCCACACATCTCGTTACGAAAAAAACTACACAGCACTGATTGATACACACTCATCATACCTTGAACACAAAGACACCGACTTAGAGAAGAGCGGCCAGGCCCAGAGCAATGGTGACTCCGGCCAGAACCGTAGCCCCGACCCCGCTACCACTCATCACGTTCGAGTCTGAGAATTGCATAGACAACGACGAGTAGGTGATGTCGGTGCACTTCGCTGCTTCACCTTGTATAGTAACGTAGTTGCCAACATGGGGGAACAAGAATGTAAAACTGTTCGTGTTCTTGTCGGCGTACAAAGCCTGCCACTTAACCCCCGTAGCCACCTTCGCATCTGGTACCTTCTTGTCAGTGCACACAGCTGTCTTGAACGCGTCTTCCTTCACACCTTCCACCAATGTATAAGTCATGAAGCTCAGTGTACCCATACAATCGGCTTTTGCCGTGGCGTCCGGAGTGCCATCAACGACAAGCGTGATGTTGTTAGCTGTCCAAGTCGACGGAATCTTAGGGGAAATGGTGAAAAGATCGCCTCCGTTAATAGGATCCTTATTCGCGCAAAGTTCCTCGCTCGTCTTTCCTTTGTAAGTATCCACTGTTAGGAACGTGATACCGTCAGATGTCGCCTTGTCATGATAGCAAGTAGTGAATTCGGTGATGTCCGTAATGCCACTGCACGTAGACTCGTCACAAGCCCCTGACTCGCAGTAGAACTTGAACTCATGACTTCCAGCCAGGGCACTTGCAAACAGAATGGAAGCGGTGAAGAGCTGACCAACCATGATTCAGAAAACGAAACTACTGATCTAAAATTAAAAGCCTCCTCTAGGCGGTATGCCGCGTCTCTAGGAGGTGTGTGGTATGTCAGTGAGCACCACGTCAGCAGCGGACCAGTACGACACAACAGTGTAAACAGAATGGATTAGTCTTCTCACCACCTTTGTCGGATACATTACACCCTCGAAAGTGCCCCAGTTTCTGACAGGTGCTTAGTGCGACTTCAAACTACCG